TGCACCATACATGAATGTGTCCACTTCACAGTGACACTTTTTATAGTCCACAGAAGAGGTGCCAATGGATAATTCTCAGGACCTGACTTGCAATACTCTTGGACAACAGCTTTATTAACCAATATTATAACTTCTTGAAGTTATTGACACAAAAGTTTATAGAATGAACTAGGGCCCTTCCATAGGGAATTAAATGTAGCAAGACAATGACAAAATCCAGATAAATCTAGCATTATAACTGTATGCACAGGCAGTTATTTTCTCCACTGCCAAATACTACAGCAACCATTGTCAACAACTGAAACGTCACAAACTAAACTTCAGACACTAAAGAACTCTCTTTTTTGGTCCAATCAGCCTTTTAATACTTTCTGGATCCTTCTCAATCTTTGCAAGAAAACTTGAAAGTCACATGCTGTATTTCACGATTGTAATATTAAATGAAATGACATCACTAGGTCATCTGACACAATATGACAAGCCAAGTTCTTCTAACTTATTACTCAGTACATTACCATTAAAATCATTAAAATAAAATATAATAACAATTGGGACGAATATACACTTTAACATAAGATTCCTTCCCTCTCCCTCCCCATCAGTCCATTATAGGTGTATTATTTAGTATTTTATTGTTAAAAATAAAAGTTTGAAAATATTTTCATGATTAAATCAGACTTTCCAAAAAGTATTTTATGACTAACAACAACGAATCATTTTAAGTATGGTTGTGCTGTTATAAAAGTACATCTTAAAGGGTGGTAAACGTGTCTAAAAGTCAGTTCTTGAAAATTTTTTATAACTTCATTTTAATACAAGATTATTTGTACATTATAGTACATTATTTTCATTCACATGATTAACAGTAGCGTATGCAATATCAAAAAGTAATATAAACACAATAGATTTATTTTCTTCTTTACATTGACATAAAAAACAAAATTAACCACGTAACAATTTAAATACACAGACTAGAAATTAAAAGTTTACATTGTTATCAATAAGTACCAGTTCTTTGTAAGTTGTTGGAACTCATTGAAATTTCTGATTGCTTATTATTTTTACTTATTTCATCAATTAATCCTTAACATTTTCAGAGAGAAGTTTTACTGTGTCAAAAGTTCTCTCAGAAATAAATTATAAAAGATGCAAAAGATTTAAAACTCATAATAAACGGTTACCACATACAAATAAAAACATTCTAAGATTCTATATCACTTTTGGTTTCAAAACCTTATCCTTTGATGGACTATTTGCATTATACTTGAGCAATTAAAAGATGATTTTTCAGGTATAAAAAGTACTCAATATATAGTTATCAATTTTCATTAAGTTTAAAAAATATATATAAACTGAATATGGAAAAAAAAACGTTTCAAAAAATAGATTCTTTTAAATCCCTTGTTTAGTATTAGCAGGAGTTGAGAATTTTTGTTGCAATATCAAGACTGGTTGATACATAATTTTCTTTATTAATTATTACTTAGAAGTTAATATTGAAGCAATTTGGGATATTTTAGTTGGAATTTACAATTGCTTCAACATTTTTAGGACTTTTTATTAATTTAGAAAGTTTAAGAATAAAGTTAAATTAGTAGTTGTATTTTTTGTAAATAACTAAGTAATGTGGATGAACTAGAAAAACAAGGTTAAGCTACGTAAGAAGCGTTGCCTAGAAACGAGATGAGCGTACTAGAACTTGTGAAAGGTTGACGAATGGATGACATCAACCCTGTAGAACTAGGAAAGCTACAGAAAAGTTTGGTTTAGCAAGCAATATCGGCGCTTTGAGGCGATATCACTTACAGCACATGGGTGTAGCAATACACGTAAATAGGTGACCGGCTAACACAACCTAACTGTAACCAATTATTTGAGAGTTTTGGTTATGGTTTTGGAACAGCCCGGGTATTCCCCTAAAGCGTCCAATAGGATCACAGGACTACTTGAGGGTGATGCTGTGTCCTATTTAGATGCTCGAGATAATACACAGAAATTTGCTTTATAAACCCATGTCAGAAACTGAAAATCAGAGTTCCTTCGGAATTCAGAAAAAAACCTCTGAAGTACTGAAGGTTATTTTGGCAACATGAAGCTTTCCAATGTTATTCGATTTCCAAACACAACACCATTGTAAGTATACTTTACTGTTTTCTCTCAGTCAATTAATACCAATGTTTTCTAAAATGCTATGTTGAAATATATCTATGTGTATTAATGAAAGTGTATATTGAAGATATTACAAGTATTGTAACCAAGTTAAAAGCTATTCTATGTTGTTTGTCATAAACGAAGTTTTGCCTTTATTAACTGTTAGTCAGATGAATTATGATTAATAAGAGTTATTGTAAGTGTTCACCATTGGCCTGAGACTTTCATTCTTTAATCTAACTGTAAACTACCTCTAGTTGTGGCTCCACTCGTCATGACAAATCCTCCAATAAAATAAATTTGGTGTAACGAGTAGTTTTAATTGAAACTCCAACAATTAAGCCCACCAGGGTGCTACTCATTACAATATTGTAGATGACTATTACAATAAAACAGTCTGGTGCAATTCATGCTGCTTAGCATTAACCTAACAGCTTTCACAACAAACTGGTTGTTTAATAAAGTAAACCTAAATCTAGGTGTGTCTTCAGATTCACCAACATACAGTTCCTTAGTATAATAGGTATCTCATCAATTACTCAACCAGAAGGTATATCATCATGAAATATTCATTAATAATGCAGAAAACACAACAGCTCACAAACAGTGTAAGAGCAATTTTCATGATGCATTTGATATAGAAACACATAAATGTTAAAACAACTCTACTATATAAAATAGATGACTGAAAATAAATATTTGCACAATAAAAATGCAGCATTTCTCTGTATGTTAACAAAGCCATAAATGTTTTTTTTATCCTTAATAACTAAAACTATTTCTATGGTCAAGATGTAACTCTTGGTTAAAATAAAGTATTACTTTTTTAAATTGAAACATTTGTAATGTAGCAGCACAATATTTTGGAGAGAAATTAGTTTGAAACATGTCATATGTTACAAATAACTTACAAGTCTATATCAAATGTAATAGAATGATTTAAGGAAAACTACCAGCACATAAGGAATACAACATCATAGTTTTATAAACTCTGTTTGGAAAGTAACATAAAGCTGATGGAAATCATATCTGAGGAAAATTTACCAGCATCTGTTATAGCAATTCCACCTGTCTCTCTCTAGAAATTAGCAGCATACTACCTAGAAAATATTCTTATGTGAAATGTACAATGTAACAGTTTATACATTTCATAGAATTCTCTGTGACTCCAAATGTAGCAGTGAACTTCATAGAAAAACCTACCTGCTTCTTTGAAATGTAGTTTTTAACTTTACAAAGATTCTACCTATATTCAGAATATAGTAATAAACCTTACACTGAACACCCTCTTGTTTGAAAGTGAAGAAAATGTCATAGAGAATCTATTTATTTAGAATGTAGCATTGTCAAATTCTTAAGTAAACAGGAGCTAAAAGGGAAGTTATTAATAAAAAAAAACAGGAAGTTTGTAACAATTTGTATGAAGATTGTAAAATTACTCAGACTTTATCAAGAAGAGAAGAAATGGGACACAATCTTCATAAAGAAAAAAAAAACTTTATAAAACAATATCTAAAATGTTGCATGTGAAATTAATTGTTCAAAGAAGGCAAAAACAATTTTCCTTATTCCATATTGACTTCTGGCTACCAAGACAAAAATAACTTTACAGTACGAAGACAAATTATACTGAAGATATAAACTATTTTAAAATGCTAGGTTCCACCAGCACTTGCTTGAATGCCACATCACCAGAAAACTTTTTAAGTCTGGCAAAATAAATTATGTAGTAAGCAGACCAGGTATGAAAATAGCCAAGTCTTGAGCCTAGCCAATGAGCATGTGAGAAAGCCCCTAAAAGCAGATTGGGTACATCTGGTTTGTCTATAACTCGTACCTAAATGCAGAAACCTGTTTTAAATTTTGAAGAATTGTATGAATAACGATGTACTTATGCTTGTGAAAAACATACGAGATAAAAAAAACTAACAAAACCCTAGTGCTATTGACAGGTGGACCTGTCTTCTTTCTCTAATCTGTCAAAAGCACTAGTGTTTAGTATATAAGATCTAAATATCACATCAGCACACACACTACTGAGTACGTACCTGTCTGCTTGGAATGTAACAGTAAATTTTACAGAGAACCAACCTGTTTATTTCCAAGTTGAATATATATAAAAATGATGACAGTACTCCAGAAAACATTGATGAAACTCTTTTCTGGAGTACTGTGATCATTTTTTATATATTTTTATTTTAGGGATAACATCCAATACACTCCAGTCAGAACTACAATATCTAAAGAAATAAAAACCCATATTTCTTAAAATATAGAATCTACCTTACTGAAAATGCCTTTGACCATCTAGAATAGGTACTCTACATTACAGATCTTTCATCTCTTCTCTCTCTCTAAGAGATAAAATCTATTTTATTTCCTTTACAAAAGATCAACACTAAGTTTACTACTGAAATATAGCAGTCTACCTCATAGAGAACAGATCTAACTACTCAAAATGCAGCCATCTTTCTATCTTTTCTGGATTTTGGTACTAAATATATACCAGTTTTTTTAATCCTGAAAATAAATATGAAGCCCGATCTCTCATTCGATTCACCATTTGTCACTGGGTTATACTGGTTTCAGGGAATTCCACCCCTCATCAGTAACCCTAAACAAGGGAGATCAGAGAACAAGATAGTAGCATAATGTTACACACTTCAAAACCTATACAGGTTCACTGAAATGAGCAAAAGCCAAAAATACACACCACAAACTGTTCTTTTCAAGCTAAATGTAGCCACCTACCTTTATAAGATGTAATTGACTTGACATGTAAAAACCTGCCTCGCTGAAAACCTAACTGGGTATATAAAACAGGATAGTTTAAAATGCAAAGGACTAACCTGGTTCTCTGGAATCTTGTGACTTTTTGCAAGGTTTTCCCTAAGTTCTTTTACTGTGGCTTGGACGTCTATACTAACACCAAGTTTGACCTGGTAAAATAAGTGCAACAATTTATATTTTTAAGAATGTAACAAAACAAAAATAAATACCTAAATAAAACAAATTTTCTAAAATGCAATTAAGAGTAAAAGCACATTTATTTTCTTTATTCAAAGAGAGTCAAACACTAACAGTAAGATTAAGAATGGTTAACAGCACATTTATGATAATACCCTTTGCACAATAGCAGTCTACTATTCAGTTTAAAGTACGTTCAGACTGAGATCCCTTCTCAGCCATGTCTGCTGAATACTGTTTAGCTCAAGATATATCAGCATTTAGATCAGTTATTAGTCATACCTAAGTGTTTGTAACTGTTCAACTTATGACAAGTTAACTCAAATATTTATTATTAATCACATCTAAGTGTTTAGTGCTGCTCAACTTAAGAAACATGCATGTTAATACCAAGATATATTATTATAAACTTCCAAATCAATGGCTTTATTTTTCCATTCTCTATGTCACCTACTTTTCTTTAAATGATCCATCAGTAAACTGTCACTTAAGATGTTATCACAAATAAAGATCATATCACACTACATATTTCTACAATAAAACAGAGAATTTTTTTTCATTAGGGTAAGATATAAGTGTAAAAACGAACCCCACCATACAGGTGAAGATGGCTGTAATACAGAATTTGTAATAAAGACACAAAACAACCATTTACTCTTGTGTTTTGAATACATCTTTCTTCATTAAACTACAATTTGAAGTTTTCAATACAAGCTGCATAATTCCTATGATTCTTTTAGGGTTCATACAGACTTAACATAAAAAAAGGAAAGCCAAAGACTACATCAATCTCAAGTAGGGAATTTTCTTTGCCTACAGAGGTTGTTGAGCAAAAGATGTTGTCAGAAGAATCTTTTGCTGGGTGCTAATGTGTTGCTAAAGTGGGCAAAAATGGCATGTGAGAGAAAGAATGCAAATGGTTTGTTTCTTTTTCGACAAATGCATAACTGCCTGAAATATATATAGAAACCACCAAAGTATTAACAGTTACCTTACTTCCCCACTTGATGCAGAGTTTGGGTAAATATTTGCTGTGAGACAACACAGGCCACTCTGTGAGTTCCATTATCTCCATAATATATATATACATATATGCATGTTGAATAACATAGTTGCAAGACCCAAAAAAATAAGAGGAAAATAAACAACTCACCATTAGAGCCACTGCAAAGAGTGAAGAATTGCAACTGGAGGGAGATAAAGACCAGGGTAGGTACAACCTTTCTACTGTGTCAGGGTCCTCCATATCCCTACCTGTAAGATCACATACAGAAGACGTAAATAGCTAGAGGCAAGAGAAGCTGTGAGATAATAAGGAAGATATCACACTAAACAAAGGAGATGGTCCAAGTCAGAATGACTTCACAGAGAGGAATGGAAAAGAGATGATGAAAGGAGAAAACATCTAATCACTATCCCAAACAATTCAAATGTTAAGGTGGTCTGGAAACAAGATGAATCCATCCCTGTGGTAAGTAGTGCAGAAGGAAGCCAAGACAAAAGCAAGTGTCAGCTCCTGCAAGGAAAAATAAGAAATATGTCTGAAACATATAAAATAAGGTTGAACCACATCAAACATGGGGCATCCTCAGCCAGTACTGTATAGCCTGGAACTGGATTCTAAATTAATTGAAGTGAAAGTGGAGGGTAGATGGGAAAGCAGTGATGATAGCTTGTCTATAGTGGAAGAAAATTCACTGAAAATTCCAGAGGTGGGGAAAGTTCAGGCATAAGTGAAATAGTTGATCTACCAGCGGAGCCTTAGCTTTAAAGACCTGGTAGATCAACGACTAAAGGTGGTGGTTCTGAGCCCAGAGCAGGAAACGGATGTCCCAGAAGCAAGTGTCTTGCTGTTAAAGGAAGGAAAAAAAAAACAATAGTGGTGGTTAAATGGAAAATGGATCATAGAAATACTAGAAAGATGAGATGGAAGATGGTGGCAGAACCTACAAGTAGTTACCAACTGGAGGATATGATGACAAAGAAACCTCATCCCTAAAGATTAATGTTGAAAATGATAATGTATCTAGTACTAAACTCCACCAAAACAGAGGCATTGGAAAGGTATGGTACAGGATTGGTTAGTGCCACATGTGCTATGCTCACTACAGATAAAGAAAAACACATATGTAAACAAAAGGAGCACACAGAATGACTTATGAACCTTGACAGACTCCAAATAAATGCAAGTCTGAGTAAAGTGAGGGGAAAAGAGACTTCCAAGATTGTGTGATCTCCCATAAACACAAGAGGTTGAAAACAAGATGTATTTCTCCATTGACAGTCTCATGGAGAAAATGAAGGAGATTTAAAAGCCCTGGTATCAAAAGAACCATGTCACAAAGATAAAAAAGTTGGCCAAGCCTGCCCCGCATATAAAGTGGGAGAGACCCTTTAGTGAAGTGTGTGGGGGAGTTGTGACTAAAACATAAAGCCAAACCACTTGCCCCAAACAAGATGATTTTTGATGTAGAATGGAGGTTGCAAGAAAAAGCCACATTGGAACTGACAAACAGAGGAGTGGTTTGTTTGAAGTTAAACACAAAGGTAAACAATGGGCTACCTAAAGAAGTGGAATAGGTCTCAAGAACATAATCACTAAGGGCAAACCCACCATAACCAATGATAGAGGGTGGGGCCACAGTCTACTCGAAGGAAGTCATGTTGGAAGGGGCAAATATAATAGTAGAAAAGGCCTCAAAAATTTAACCTCTGAGGAAAAACCCACCAGAACCAAAAAAAGAAGATGGAGCCATAGCCAACACAAAGGAAAGGATTGAGAGCAAAATATTAAACAACTGTGAATGAACCCAGGGAAGTGAAAATCAGGTAGACAGATCAGGATGTGGAGAAAGTGTTGAGATAAAGAATCAGTAATTTATCACTGGGGAGAGTAACTAACAAAAAGTGAGAAACTGCCCATCAGGAACCAAGGAAAGACCAAAGCTTGGTCAAGTGGGACAGACTGGTATTTGGTTGACATCTTCCTATCTATGTGGGACTAATAAAAAATGTGAGTAAAACCCCAGGGTGGGGTGGAAAAATGTTTTCATGGAATTGAAAACCGGATGAGGTGGAGAGTAGAAGTAAGAAAAAACCATGAACTGAGGAACTTAATCGGGTGTAGCAATGGGAGTTCACAAGTGGACAAATTGGGAGAGCAGATCTCCCACAGGACTAGAGTTGAGAGTTAGGTTCAGAAATGAATTGCTTCCAATACCCATGATGGCCAGTCCTCAAAGAAGGTGGACTTTTGATAGTAACAAGATAACAAGGAACAGAAGAGGGTACAACTGCACTAGGCCTTATATAATGAGAAACCTGCTGAAAGCCCTCTGGTCCCAATGGCAAGAAACTAAAGTGAGAAGAGATAACTGCTGAAGAGCTGTGTCAGCTCAAGAGGACATTCAAGAGACCATTGTAAAAGAAATACCTCAACAAAAAACACATAGAAAGGTACAAGACAGTGGTTCTGGAGAGGAGATTGAGGAAGTGGAAGTCATAAAGTAAGGCAACCTGACAAGTACTCCTCAGAAACCAATAAATCATGGTAACTGAGAGAAAATGGAAAAAACAAGGGCAAGGTGAAAAACAGATATGTGTATGTTGCACTAGTAAAGCCTCCAAATCAGCATGAGAATGGACTAAGAAATTAAATAAGAGATGAAGACAACTAACAGGAGAAAAAAAAAGGAATGAAAAAGACCCCAAAATAAAAGAAAAAAGCATTCAGGATTCAGGTGAACAAGGGAGTCCAAGATTCAGCAAAAACAAAAGAAAAAAAAACCAAGCAGTGGAATCCAAGCAGTGAAGGACGAATGTGGGATTACCCGATCTACATCAGGAATAGGGAAGAAAAAGCAAAAGAGATGGGTCAGGATCAGCTGAAGCAATAGATGCAGGCAGTCTGGAATCTTTTATCTGTGAGCAGAATGAAACCAACCACATGGTGCACAATGGCAGTAATATTACTGAACATTAGTGTCTCCAGTTGCCATGACACTATCGGATAACTTCTATGAAGGAGGGCTAAAAACTTCAGGAAATGCCAGAAATGTGGAAACATGAACGCATAAATCAGTTAGTCGAAGAAACCAATATTGTGGTGGCCTGTTTCTGTAAGATACATATAGACATGGCGATGGTTCATAGGCCTAATAGTGACCTTGAAGAGTGCTTGAAAAAACCTGTATTTTGGATTAAACAACAGGAACAGACAATAGGACATGTCCCAATAGTTCATTATAAGAAAATTAAATATAAGATAATTTGTATGAAATTTCTAACTAATAAGTTTAAAATTTTGTATTATTCTTTCATATAAATCAGAATAATTAAGGAAGGAAAGATTACACAACAATGGAAGATTAAAACAATAAGCACAAAAATAGCAGGAAAATATAATGAGAAACACATTTGAAGACAGAAACTGCTGAGGAAAGAATGTGCCCGTGTTCACATACTAGTGCTCTTGGGGATTATTGCATATGTAGGATGTGTCGTCCTCCTACTGGTGGGAAGATATAGTAAAATAATGATTACGTCATTGGCTACACAATGAACAGGTGGGAGCTTTGTTCAAGGCTTGTGGTGTGAAGAGGAAATTACTTGGTAGGGCACGCAATTTAATAGCTCTTGGTTGTGTCAAGAGATGAGTAGAATTTCTCAAACTGAAATTTCAGTACTTTTCCACAATGAAGACTAAAAATCAGTCCTTTCTCAAGGACCTGTGTAAACCATGATCCGTATACATCCTTGAAAATACTTGATCATTTTCAAAAATAAAAGTTTATTACTAACTAAATCAACTACTTCCTTTTGTTTTTCAAAGGCAAACTAGCTTAGCTTATGATCCATATTACAAAATAATCAGTTAACAAGACAAGTCATCCAGAAACACACTGTATCACCAGAAAATGCAATTAAAATTTCTTCCTTTCTTAAAAAACATCAAAAAATAGGAAAATTACGTGAGTCTATATTAATCTTTGATTAATTTATCAAAGTTACTAAGGAAAATACGGAGTCAGTATCAGATGCATAGTCGACAAAAATATCATAAACTTATAATTATATGCCACTCAAAATTATTAAAACTATTACTTATATAAAAAAAAATACTTGAAAGGCAAGGACAAAATCATAAAACTTCTAAATAAGACAAAATGAAAAAGCCTATCCATTCTATAATTGATCTTTAGTGAGCATAAAAGTCAAACAACTGCAAATCAATCACTAACCTAAGCTTTTCTTTCTTAGAATTTTATAAAGTCAATCTAATAATTAATTAGTACTTAGGAGTAAATTGACTGATATAAAACAAAAAGTAGAAAAATCTTAGGTGTATCTTTATCGTAATTAAATCTCAAAATAACAATATATATATATATATATATATGTGTATATTGAACTTAAGCAAATAAGTTATTCCCTAAATAAACATTTCATGGAATGTTAAAAATCAATAATTTTCTAATTTGTATATCTGATAGCAGCAACAACTATGGATTGTAATTTTTCTATACAATTAAAATTTTCCTTGAGTCAGTGTGTTAGGTAATCTTAAATAAACAGAGCCTCTTAACTCTTTTAAGACGGGTCACAGGTGAAAGGCCATGTCATCTTGTTTGTTGAATCGCATTCAAAATTTTATTGAACTACTATTTCATGAATTTATGTCAATAACTTTGATATCAAACTGTAAATTATAATTCAAATTTTAGTACTTTATATTACTCATTTTTTTAATTTAAAAGCAAATATTAAAAACAGATAAACATCGATTTTTGTGTGACACGTGGTATGTTGAATGCAGCTCTGGTTCAAATTAGATCTTTGTTAAGTCTGTAGTTCCATACGAATTAGAACTCAAATTACTGATATTGACAAGCTTATCTTTTCTATTCGCTAAGATATTGCTCATGTAATAAATCAAACACAGTAGCACCCCACCCACCTATTTCCATTTTTGAAAACGCTCCCTTATATACACTTATTTCCATATATGACGTGAATAACCAATCGGAAGCTCAGAATGTTCCCCTAGTGACTCTCTCAACCATTTTAATGGTCTTGGCGCCATTTCTTTCTTTTGAACCAATATTTCAAAGAGATAGGGTGTGTCTTTGGTCTGCTCAAAATTTCATATTTTTTTATACTAAAATACAGCTTAGTCAACTAAGCTTGATAAATTATAGTGGAATTCGATGGTTTTAATGTAGTAACTTATGATTCTTTTTTATTCAAATGTGCATATAAAATCTAAAAAAAAAATATTTTGTTTCATATCCTCCGAGTGCAAATTTTTTAAAGGCTTAGCAATCTACATGAAGCAGCAACCAAGTACAAAGACTGTAACTAGAAGAGAAAATTGTTTGCTTTACTTCTTTATTTACTGTTCTATGTTTGAAGAAAAATAAGTTTAAGAACTTATTTCAAAATAGCAATAATCTATATACATATATTATATATAATAATTGAAATGTGACTGTATCTTACAAAATACTAGGCTACTAAAAGACACCGAAGACAAGTTAATTTGTACAGACCAAAGGTCAGTTTTATATTATTTGATATGGTAACACGAGTGCACGTGAGCTGCATCATTGTAATTTCTGTATTGTTAGCTAGGCATGGCTGAAAGGTCAATATAATAAAAATTATAAATATATATACAAATGTGTAATGTTTTAGATTTAAGCTATTTAATCTAAACATGTATGTTTTCCTGTTATAATTTGTGTTCATTCTAGAATGAAAGAGACAAAATTTATATTTGTTTCTTAATTTTTTATGGTGGTTGAAAGATCGGTCAGATCTACTGAGCATGTACAGAGATTAATTACTGAAAATAACAGATAAAATAAAAAGTTTTTCTTAAGAAACATTTGATAACTATCTGGAGATAATAAATTTTCACATGTGAAATTTCAAAACTTTCTTATGCATAAAAGTATTTTTAATCTTAAAATGAATATTACTTTGCATGATAGATAGACAACATGCAAAAAAGAAAAAATAGTCATGAGAAAAACACTGCTTTACAAACTTTAAGACTTAATATAAAAAAATTAATATTTTATGTATGAAAGCATTGTAATGTTTACTGATAAGCTGCCAAATTACATTAACATTCGCTTACTAATTTAAAAGTTATAGCATGAAAACTATAACAAGCACAAAACGGCTATGAGGTTGTCCCAGGGACCGAACCCGTGCTGAAAGAGTTAATATGAACATATCTGAATGACATTTTACATAACTAATTTTTTTAACTCATACTTTTTTGTTGTTGCATGTTTTACAGTAGTACAATTGGCACAAAAGAAAACTAAAATACATCACTATTTAAAACCTCATGGGTTATAGACATTCTCTTTTCATATCATATCACCACATAATTATCATGCAATACATCAACTGAAAGAAATCACTCCTAAAATCAGATTGGAAATAATATTTTTTTTTAAGTGACAAAACCTTAAAAATAATCTTAACAGGCCAAATATAAAAAGAATTGTTAATGGAGAGGCTTCTTGTTATCCAAAATCATTTCCATAAGAAGCACTTTTTTGAGTGGTCAGGACATTTGCCACAGCTAAACAATGTGACATACAATGCGTGCAAAGCACACTAACAGCATTCAAAGCATTCCATTTCTGGGGGTTGTCTGGAGAATGCCCCTCTACAAATTTTTTTAAAACTTAATGCTATGAAATTGAATATTGAGCCATTTTAATTAGTAATACTGCATAAACACAATGTAATGTATTGAATTAAAAGAAGCAAGTTTTAATATATAAGTTGTAGCTATACAGGCCATGGCCTGGCTGGCTTTACCACTTCCTACAGCTGTGAAAATAACCTATACACAGTTAAAATATTTATGTAACTCCTCACCTGCCTTGGGTCACCTTTTAATCGTACCAGATTGACAAACACTGGTCTTGTCTGACGATGTGGAATGGGGACAGACAGACAGAGATAAGGATCAAAAGTGTTACTTTGTTTTCGACAACTTGCACAACTAAGTGAGGAGCGGAACTGACCCTGAAACCAGTCAAGAACAAAACTACTATTGCATCTGACATGGTTGGCAAGAGTTTCTGCAGCAACCACTTCATCTGATCGACCGTGACTACCCTGATAAAAATAAGAGAAAAACATTTATCTCACCATTCAAACAAGATTATTTTATCACATCTAAAACTACAGTCAAATATTATACTACACTTCTGTGTATATTTTTCATTCAACATTATACATCTCATTAAACTGCTTCATGTTTTGCTTTTTGTTACTAAATGTCCTCAATTAAACAGTTATTAAACTTTACCAAATGACTGTGTGAAAATTATTGAAAGTTTTGCAGCATAAACTGCAATGAGTATGAGCAACGTACTTGTATGAACTCTTTCACTACCATATGTATTCTAATAATTCTAAAAATTGATTAGTGGAAACAATGAGGAATATATTATATCAATCATACTACATCTGTCATGTCTAGTGCTGACAAGGCCTTTGACCCATACTGTAGAATAACATACAGTAGTGGTCTAGGCACTATAATCATAGTGTGAACTAGATTAAGTAAATGAATTGTAATTATTATCAATTTTATTTTACTCATTTACAAGTCAGATTTTTAGGGTAATTAATAATAACACAGAATTATTCACTTCATTTATAACATTGATTTTTTTTAATATTATTATTTATATTTACTTATTATTATTATTATTATTATTTTGATTTGAATTAACTTCAATATCATTCAGAAGAACTGGCAAACTAGTCTTGTTCCTGTAGCAGGCCAAGCAACCACAGTGTTAATGCGTTAGCAATAAAAAATATTTTATTTATCTATTGTTAGATAACTTCCCAATACTTATCTTTAGAATTATATGCTTTTATGATTGTTCAAGACTGTTTTAGGAGAAGTTACAGTATATGTGTCAGTGAACTAGACTACATCTTCACTAAAGGCATGTGTAAGGATAAAGCCATGTCATTAACTACTATTTAAATATTTATTAAACTAATTGAAATAAAAATTCTATGAAACATTTAAAACTATTACTGTAATTAGTTAAACTTTTTTTAAATTGCTTGACTAAGCTATGAAACTGTAATATTGTCAACTGTGCTCTTACACTTTATAATACAGTTTACACTTACACTTTAAAGACATCTTTCTAAATGGTTAAGGCAAAATTTCAAACAAAAAGTAAAATTAAATGAATACAGTATTTGACTAAAATAATTCATAGAAATAACTACACCATTTGATTGAAATAATTGACAAAATAACTATTTGTAGAGAACATTTATTCCTATTTAGATAAAAGCTTTAAAGTATTTTTAAAAGCTATTTCATTAAAGAACTTCTACAATCATACACATTATGAAACAGAACTTAGTGCATCACATCAAAGAGACAATAATAGTGTTGCGTCAGCGAGTCACATGACTACAGTGACGCAACGTTTCTAGAATAATCATGTACTTTGGCGAATGCTCTAGTATTTACTAGTAGGGTAGGCTGGTATATATAAGAGGGGAAAACGTGATGCGGTAAGGTGAGGTTGTTGTGATGTGTGTATAGATAGTGAGTAACTGAACTGCAGTCGGAAGTATTGTTGACGTTCGTTGATTAGCGTTTGTTTTAACGCGATTGTTGAAGTTGAGTGTATCGGTAAAGTTATATTCGGAAAGAATAAATCAGTTTATTAAGTAAAGAACTTGTGTCGCAAGTTTCGTCGGAACGAAGTTACGGAAAAATCAATTAACAAACGGAGACGTAACAAATTGGTGTCAGAAGTGGGATAGAAAAAAAAATGGAAACGAGAAGCGATAAATCAGACTAGCAGATTTGATGGCAGCAATACAAAAACAAGAAAAGAAACAAGAAGAACGAGAAAATAAACAAGAAGAACGAGAAATTAAACAAGAAGAGAAATTACGGTAGTTGTTAGAGGAAAAAGAAAAGAAACAAGAAGAACGAGAAATTAAACAAGAAGAGAGATTACAGCAGTTGTTGGAGAAAAAGAAAAGAAACAAGAAGAGAAATTACAGCAGTTGTTAGAGGAAAAAGAAAAGAAACAAGAAGAGAAATTACAGCAGTTGTTAGAGGAAAAAGTTGTAATCTCTCTTGTTTATTTTGCTGTTCGAGCTGCCATTGTTGTAGGTTTTCTTGCAACTGTTGTTGTCTCTCTTCTTGTTTCTTTTCAGTTGTTGGAGGAAAAAGAAAAGAAACAAGAAGAAAAATTACGGCAGTTGTTAGAGGAAAAAGAAAAGAAACAAGAAGAGAAATTACGGCAGTTGTTAGTGGAAAAAGG